TTGGTTATGTTTAGGCAGAAAAACTACTTTGTTTGGTTTAGAGGGAAATTTTTTTGGTTAGATTTAGGCACAAAAACTACGTGGTTACATCTAGGTGGAAAAATACTTGGTCAGGAACAAAACCACATTGTTATGTTTAGAAATAAAATCTCTTGAATAACATAAGCCACACACTCTACTTGACATCAGCTCTCCTGAAGGAAAGTCCTGTGTTTTTAACATGGACTTTGTGTCTTTTCTCGTGTCAGTACAGATGCTAGATGTCACCTAACTATAACACACAACATTTTGCTTTAATAACCTGCTGACACAAATGACATGTACTGTTGTAATTTGCAAGAGGACAGTCTCAGTTTCATTAGAACTACTTTCTGCTGAAGAACTGTGCAACAGTGGATCCCAAACAACCCACACCCAACTCGTCAACCTCAACCTCACTGGACAATCACTCCCCTCCTCACAAATCCCTTTTAACCCCTGCAGTCAGTGGTACATAATCACATTCGAAAGCAAATGCTCTGGTGAGGAACCTACTAACCTAAAACTGTTGCGGGTTGTTTCTCCACAGGTAAACGGATGTGTTTAGGGGAGCACCTGGCCAGAATGGAGCTGTTCCTTTTCTTTACATCTCTCCTCCAGCACTTCACCTTCTCTGCTGTTCCTGGAGAAATGCCCAGCTTGGAGGGTGTGCTGGGCTTCACCTATTCCCCACAGGAGTTCAGGATGTTAGCCGTGGCTCGCTGATGTTACCAGGCTCTTCAACTATCCTCATCCTAGAAGCAAAAAACAAACACAGATGAGAGGGATCTCCACTCTGAGATAAAAACACCTCTGTGAACCTTACATCTAACAATGGCACCTGATGATGACTACATATGTCACTAAGCTTTCTACTACAACAATAACAGTGCGGTGTGTAGTTTAGCTGACAGGTGTCTCTGTGCCTGACTCTCCAGTCAATCTCACACTAAATAAAAAATTATACCAATTACACTGATAAATATTTGCTGTTATCTGGTGGTATAATAGTGGTAAAACGGTGATAGTCGATCAAGGAATATTTTAAATGGAAGATGCATAAATGATTCCTCTTTGCTTTTACATATACAGCAGGACAGTTTTAGAGAAGTGTCTTTCAAGATCCTTTTTATCTTCACTGGAGTAAGACAAAATGCATACACACATCATAAATAATATGTTCTGTTGCATATACAGTAGATGATTACCTTCATCTAAAAACCATGTCTAGGCCACTGTGCTTTCTTTAACTACAGCCATAAATTATTTCCAGTTGATCATCACAGTAAGTATTCAATTAAAAAAAATCTGTATGAGGGAGGGTGTATTGTGTCCTTATATTGACAGGTGATTTTACATGTGTTATCAACTGACTGAAAAGGTTATTAAGTGAGTTAAGTGACATTGTGGTGGTGGTGAGACTCTGAAATGCAAACAAATGTTTTGTGTGTTAAGGTTTTTGAGAATGAGGACCCAAGTGCAGATAAAAACCAAAGACTGGGAATGGGAAACACACCTTCAAATAACCACAAAGTAAACCAGGCAACCAAGAAATACAGTTCAAAAACAAAGGGGAGAAATAGCTAAACAAAGGTAAATACAATGTGACTAACATCTAGGAAGTAACCTAACATAAATACTAAATAAGGGCAAAAACTAAGAAATTGAAAAAAACCCCTGAAAGAACAAACATTGGAGGAGAAGCAAAGCTGGGGAGCTAATCACAATGAACTACGAAAATAGAACTAACACACTTAAGTGAAAAAAGCATGAAACAATCCAGGAAGAGAAAAGTCACAGCCGAGGGTGGTAACTGGTGAACTAGGAGTGAAAAGCAAGGAGTGAAGCACTGATGAAGCAGCTACTGAGGCATGTGAGGTGAATTTAAAGGCTGAGCCAGGGAAGCAAATGAACAACATGTGAAGGCAATCAGTGGCAGTGTAAAGCTGGGGCTGGTGAAAGAGCAAGAGACAGGAGATGACTACAAAATAAAAACACAAAACAAGAACTCAACCAAAACCACAACAGTTTGTATAATGAAAACTGCATTGGTCAATATACCTGATGTTTCAAAAATCACTGACAGACAAAAAGGATTACAGTCAAATACGGTTTGAACAGATACCTATATACCATATGCCTTACATATCTACTGTTTCTAAGAAAATAATGGCATGTAAGCAGTTCTTTGTTGCTGTGATCCTATATGTAAGCTTCCATGTGAAAGCTGGTCTTCATTGCAATTATAGCATTTTTCAGACAAAATGTGGAAAATGTCTAAACAGCGTGTAGCAAACAATCACTGATTAATCATAACATTTGCAGGAGGAATACATTATACTGGAGACTAAAGATCTTCCAGTATCCAACATTTATCACAAAATTCTATGCATTACAGTTTTATATCTTTATGTTTGAAGCCTGAAATGTGGCAAAAGGTCGCAAAGTTCAAGGGGGCCGAATACTTTCGCAAGGCACTGTATGTAGAAAGGTCACGGTCTTCTTCCCCGTTGAAGGGGTCCTCTTCAATCTCAGACTCACCGGGCTCAGTGAGTGAGATCCTTGGCATGGTTTCCCATAGAGATTGGTATTGAACCATCTCATAGGCAGGGGGCAAGGGATATCTATTATCAATGGCAGTCTTGATACACTTTAGACAAAGATACCTAATGCAGGGGATGCAGCCGCATCCACACAAGGTCAGCAAAGTAACTGCTGCCACAAAAGATGTAAACAAAGAAATCAATAAATTTTTCCACTTGCCAAAAAAATTTAACAAACCTATCAGTGTAATTTTTAATTTCTTAATGGTCAGCCATCTCCTCTGATAAAATTTCAACCCTGTCAGGGCCCTAGCAATGGAGCCATCAGGAATGTTATTTGGAATGTAAGTACAACACTGTTGCCCAGTCATATTACAAACACCCCCTTTTTCAATCAGAATGAAGTCTAATGCCAACCTGTTCTGGTACGACATAAGAGAAGTGGCTGCCAGTTGCTCCTGAAACCCAACAACTAAATCTCTAGTAAGATTAGTAAGACACTGAACATTAAACTAGACATAGGACAGTATACAAATATATTTATCAAACTGTCTTAATTGCTCTTGCTGTGGCCACACAGAGCAGTCAAGAATGTCACATGCATCTACCATTAAAGTGGAAGTTTTACCCAAATTAAAAACCAACTCGAGTGGAATCAGGACATTAGCTCTTTTCTCACGGTGTATGTGGGACCTTGTTTCCCACCACAATATGGGTACCACTATAACTAGGCTAACGAGGCCCAGTACACATGGAACCATACCAGGACAACTGTCTAAACTTGAAGGTGCAAAAATCACTTTTTGTTGCTCATGCTATGAAAAAATAGCTCCTCAAGTCATTAGCTCTTCTTTTTATGTAGCTGGTCTGTTCATGAGCAATGGTGAAACATGGAAGAGACAATGTCGTTTTGCTCTCTCTACCTTACGTAACTTTGGCTTGGGCAAAAGCATCTTAGAGCACAATATCTGTGAGGAGATCCGATACCTGCAGGAGGAGACAAAGAAGGAGAAAGGTAGCTTACACTGAGTGCAGAACAATGTGAGCTTATAATCCTACATAGCATCAACATCTCTTATGTAAAATAGCCTTATCTGAAGAGTGGAAATCTCTTCTTCAGGTGAACTCTTCAGCCCAGTAGCCCTCTTCAACAATGCTGTGTCCAATATTATTTGCCAGCTGGTGATGGGGAAACGGTTTGACTGCAGCGATGACAAATTCCAGATAATGCTGAAGTATATCTCTGAAACTCTTCAAGTTGAGGGCTCCATATGGGGTCTAGTAAGTGTTATATATTGTCAGGTTTGCCCAGCTGCACCTGCCTTTCTCACTCTCTCTTTTTCGGCCCCTGATCCCACCACCTATATGGGGTGCCGAATGTAAAAATAGCACTTACACTAGTTTTCTCACATTTAGCTGAATGTGACAAGTTTTCTCACATTTAGCTATAGTGACAAATTAAATACACTAAATGTATTTAACACTAAATGTTAAATGTAAATGTAAATGTTAAATGTCTCGCCAAGTGTAAAACTGAATATTTAGTAGCTCCACAGCCTTGCCCTGTTACAGCGCAGCACACAGCCCCGCCCATGATGCTGAACTCGAATCAATGATGCTGACTCAAAGACCTCAAATACAGCCCCGCCCACACCTGACTCTGGGTTTGAGGTCTTTGAGGTAATTGGTGTTGGTGCCCTATCCTAGGCAAGTTGTTGAAGTTAGACATATTTTGGACAGGAAAGCACTACGTATTTTGTATTCTTCATTGATTTTACCATACTTAGAGTATGGCGTTGAAAACTGGGGAAACACATACAAAAGCTCACTTCAACCATTGTATATATTACAAAAAAGAGCGATAAGAATTGTGCATAAGATGGGATACAGGGATCACACCAATGGAGCTTTCATACA